TGCTAAGTTATATGACTGTATCACTTGTCTGTATAATGATTGGCTGTTGATTAATAGATTCAAAATTCTGCTATGTTGTACAAACCTGATTGGTTCACAAGTGTCCTGTTTGCATAATATTTCTGCAATCCTATAAAAACTCTGACCCGACAATGATCAGGGCTGCTTCTACTCCCGAGATAGACAGTCCAGCCAGTGTAAAAATAAAATTTACCTTGCTACTTTTCTTAAAGTGGTGCTGGTGATTGTTTTTGCAAACTCTGACCTATAACAACAGTTGTTAGCAGACATGTGGGTGCTGGGAGCTAAATCTGGGTCCTCTGCAAGAGCAGCTGGTGCTCTTAAACACTGAGCCATCTCTTCAGTCTCTCCACTGTATTTTAAAAATACTTTCATTTTTAATTAAAACAAATTTTTTTTTAAATTTTATTTATGTGTATGCATGTATTGCCTGCATGTAGGTAAGTGCACCTGTGTCATGCAATGCCCGTGGAGGACAGAAGAGGCTGTTGGATCCCCTGGAACTGGAGTTACGGACAGTTGTTACCTGCCATGTGGGTGCTGGGATTCGAACCTGGGTCTTCTGCAAGAACAAGTCAGTGTTCTTAACCACTGAGCTGTCTCTCCAGCTCATTTTTAATTTTTATTTTATGCATATGAATGTATTGCTGCATTGTATATAAATTCATCCATCTCATAAAATGCCACAGAGGTCAGAAGAAGGCATCGGATCCCTGGAATTGGAGTCACAGACAGTTGTTAGCTGCCATGTGGATGCTGGGAACCAAACCTGGGTCCTCTGCAAGAGCAGCCAGTTCTCTTAACCTCTGAACCATCTCTCCCCTGTATTTTTTGAGACGAGGTTTCTCACTGACCCTGACACTGAACATTTCGATCAGGCTCACTGGCCATCAAGCTCCTGGCTCCATCTCTCTCTGTCCCCGGCAGTGCCGGTGTTACATGCATGCACAGCCTTGCTTAGTTTTTATATGGGTGTTGGGGATTTGAATTCAGGTCCTCATGTTTGCACAGCAAACACCGTGACTCTAAGACATCTCTCCAGACCCTCATTCTTTCTTTTTAAAAACTTTTTTGTTTCGGCCGGGTGTAGTGGCGCACACCTTTGATCCCAGCACTTGGAAGGCAGAGGCAGGTGGATCTCTGCGAGATTGAGGCCACCCTGGTTCACATTGTGATTCCAAGTGGGCTGTGACTAGAGACCCTATCAAAAAACAAACAACAAAAAGTCAAAAATAAATAAATAGAAGTCAATAGTTGCCAAGCCAAACCTGCGAGGAACCAGAGATTCTTTGAAGGAGGAACAGCCAAAATTAGCACAGCTGGACACCCAGGCTGATAATCTTATTTTCTCCTTGTAGCTAGGGAAGTCCCTTCAGACACCTTTTTACCCTGTGGCAGGACAAAATAATCCTTTCAGATTTTCTGGAGTTAAGCTATTTCCTGGAGACTATAAACTTTACTCCAGAGGAGACAAAACCTCCCTTTTGTCCTGCTAATTGGCTGCAGTGGTTCCATGCTTCCTTTCCTGTGCCTGTCTTATTTTGTCTTTTTTAAAATTTAAATATTTTATTATTTTTATTTTATGTGCGTGTATTGCCTGCATGTAGGTAAGTGCACCCATGTTGTGCAATGCCTGTGGAGGACAGAAGAGGCTGTTGGATCCCCTGGGACTGGAGGTACGCACAGTTGTTAGCTGCCACGTGGGTGCTGGGATTCAAACCCAGGTCTTCTGCAAGAACAGTCAGTGTTCTTAACAGCTGAGCCATCTCTCCAGCCTCCCTTTTTTTGTTGTTTTTTGAGACAGGGTCTCCCTGTAGCCTTAGCTGGCCTGCAGCTAGCTATGTAGACCAGGCTGGCCTTGAACTTAAAGAAATTCACCTGCCTCTGCTGGGATTAAAGGCATGTGCCACCATGCCTGGCTTACAAGTTGTCTTTTTAAAAATTAAAAAAAATTTTTTTTATGTGTATGAGTGTATTGCCTGCACGTATGTGAGTGCACCCGTGTCGTGCAATGCTGCGAAGGTCAGAAGAGGGCTTTGGATGGCCCTGGAACTGGAGTTAAGGACAGTTCGTAGCTACTATAATGGGTGCTGGGAATCGAACCTGGATCCTCTGCAAGAGCAGTCAGTGCTCTTGATCGCTGAGCCATCTCTCCAGCCCCACAAGTTGTTTTTTAAGGAAGTTAAACTCCAGTCAACACGAAGAGTCACAGGTCATGTTCAGATGGGCAGCAACACCACCTACAGACGCGGGCACACCTCTCTATCCCCTCTGCTTCATCATGGGTTCCTTTCCCAGTAATGAGAAACTCTGAGAACAAAATGAGATCCACATGACAACAGCATTCACGGACTCTCCTTCCTTGGATGGAGACCATGGAGTCCCCCTCTGTTTCTTTGCTTTGCTGTTTGGGAGGGTCTACATATCTGAGGGTGATTTCTCCTGCTATACCAGTCTAACCTAAGTTTTTTTATACCCATTTTTATTGAATTTTTGTGCATTTCATACATCTTAATCATATTTAGACCACCTCCTCTATCTGCACCCCACCACAGCTACCCCACCAAACTGCATGCATTCTGTCATGTTAAGGCCTATCTGAGTCAAGTCTGTGTCCCCAGATGCCCCTTGGTGTGAGTTCATCCACTGGAACCTGGTCAGCCTGTCTAGACCAGTGTCATTCCCTTAATGAAGACCAACTCTCCCTCACCCAGCAGTGATCAGCTGCCAATAGCTCCTCAGCTGCGGTTGAGGCTTCTTACCCATTTCCCCACTGCTGTGCTGAGTGTCTGTGCTTGCTGTCACCATTGCTCTAAGTTCGTTCCCAGTTACCTAGAAACTCTTTCCTTGTAGTCATGCACCACCGCTGGCTCTTGCAGTCTTTCTGTCCCTCTTCTTCAATGGTCCCTGAGCCTTGGGTAGCAGAGGTTTATTATAGGAGTTTTTTTCTTTAAGTATTAAAATACTTAATTTTTGGGAGAACCTGCCCCAAAACTTCAAAGGCCCAAGGCTTCCTGGGGCCTTTGGATTTTTTGGGTTTCAGAGTCCCCTCTCCACTTGTGGAGAGCTTTTCTCTCTGAGTGTGGCTCAATAAATGAAACCCATTTGCGTGTTGCACTCTGATGCATCTGAGATTTTTCCTGCCTTTTTAATTCTTTAACCGGTAGAGAAACAAACCTGATCAAGACTCCTAGACTGTAATAAAAGGTCAAACAGTGACCAACATTGGTGGTAGGTACATGCCTGTAATCCCAGCTCTCAGGAGGTTGAGGCAGGAGGATCAGGAGTTCAAAGCTAGCCTCCACCACATAACAAATTTGAAGCCAGCCTGGGTACCATAACAAGACCTCGTCTTAAAAGCAAACAAAAAGGAGAGATAGGTCAGCAGTTAGGAGCATTGGCTGCTCTTGCAGAGGACCCAAGTTCAGTTCCCAGCAGCCACATGGCTGCTAACAACCATCTGTAACTCCTCCAGTTCCAGGGGATCCAATGCCCTCTTCTGGCCTCTGTGGGCATTGCATGCACAAGGTACACTTAGAAACATGAAGGCAAACACCTATTCACATAAAAATTTAAAAATAATATTTTAAAAACCAAACACAGGAGGCCCCAGAGAAGAGGCATAGAGTTGAGTAACTGGCTTTTAACAAACCTGAAACTGACAGAGCCCATGTGACTTACCCAAAAGGTAGTGTGGTGCCGCTATTTTAGCAAAACATAGTAGCAGGTAAAGATAACAGGTTTCAAATACCAGCTCTGAATCAAGACTTGAGTATATTTCAGTAGACCCTCTCTCTCTGCCCCTAGAGGGTTTTGGACCACCCTCTTGAGAATCTGCGTGCAAGATACTAGTTAAACTCTTCTTTATTTCCATGGGAAAGTTACAGGGTTACTTAACAAAATAACTATCCAGGGCTTAGAGACCAGGTGGTTTCTCAGTACAGACCTGTCGTGGGGGACCACAGTTCCTGAGATAGCTCACTTGGTCCCTCTTACCCTTGTCCTCTGAAATTGATCTCCAAGATGCAGGGAGTGAAGAAAATACAGTGTAACTTCAGCACCTGCTTTTGCCCCCACCCCACCAAAAGGAGGTTAGGGTGCTGGTGGCCTCATCCCCAGACAGTGCATATAGGGTCCTCCCTTCCAAGAGTGGGGGTCCTTCCATCCCGGGCAAGCTGTCTTGGTTGCTCCTGGGGCTAAGAAGAAGAGGCCTCATGGGGTTTCAGCTCTTGGCTACTTTCAAGGTGTCATTTGGACACAGAGGCATCCCAGCCTCCCTTCCTGGAGGGTGAGAATTTGTTCAGAGGTCTCTTCTTTTATCCCAGTGGGGGTTTTTTGTTTTCCTTTTTTTTTTTTTTTTTACAAAAACAGCGGTGCGCTGGATGGACCATTTTTCCCTATTTGTTGTCGTTGCCCAAGTAACAGGAACATTTCAACAGGTACAGCTCTGCTGATCAATTTGCTTTCTACAGGGTTCCATGGTGACTGCGACGCCCACCCCACTGCGGCCGGATGTCATGTGAGTCACCTCGCTCCAGGTGTCCGTGTCTGGGTCATAGCATTCTACACTGTCCAGGAAGGTGTGACCATCGTAGCCTCCTGCAGGGAGATGGAAGAGGGTGGTCACCTCCCTTAGCTAGCTCAGGCCACCTCCCAGGAAAAGGCAGAAAACAGAAGGGAAAGGCAGCCACTTATCCCTAATGGATAGGGACAAGGTGGGATGCAGCTCAGTGGCAGTCTAGAATTGCCCAGTGAGAAGGTTGTGGGTGGTAACTCAGAGGTAGAGCACTTGCCTAGAATCCCCCAATGAGGAGCTTGGAGTGTTACTCAGAGATAAGAGCCCCTACCTAGACTCCCCCATAAAACACTTGACAATCATGCAGGAGACCCTGAGTTCCATCCCCCACATCAAAACTTAAGAAATAAAAACATGGACATTTAAGAGCCTTCATCAGGCTGCCACAGCCCTCTAGGGCCTCACCAAGGACATAGATTCTCCCCTGGTGCACAGTGATCCCCAGGGCACTCCGCCGGTGCTTCATTGGGGCTACGAAAGTCCATGTTTCCATCTCCACGTCGTAGCGCTCCACGCTGCTGAGCTGGTCCTGACCATCGTATCCCCCCGCTGCATAGATACAGTTGTGTAGCACGCAAACTCCTAAACACAACCGAAAAGGGAGGAGAGTCACTCTGAAGCCAGATGGGGGGATCCCAGCAGCCACATCTTCCCTTTACCACTCTTTCCAGAAGGCTTCCCTCAGAATTTAAGTTGGAGAGACTGGAGAGCTGGTTCTAAGGGTAAGAGCACTGGCTGCTCTTGCAGAGGACTCAGTCTCAGTTTCCAGAATACACATGGTACAGCTAACAACTGTCTGTAACTCCAGGTCCAGGTGATCTAACATCTTCTGGCCTCCATGGGCATTGCACACACAAGGTGCACATACTTACACTCAGGCACAAACATACACATCAATCATATGTATGCAGGCAAAACATACACGTAAAAAATAAAAAATAAGACTTTTTAAAAAATATGTAAAAATTTAGCTGGGAGTGGTGGCGCACACCTTTAATCCCAGCTCTTGGGAGGCAGAGGCAAGCAGATCTCTCTGAGTTCGAGGCCAGCCTGGTCTACATAGCAAGTTCCAGGTCAGCCAGGGCTACAGGGAGACCCTGTCTCAAAAAGACCCCAAAAAAAAAGTAAAAATTTAAAAAAGAAAAAAGAAAGAAATGAAGGTGGAAGTCAGTGTGGTGGCCTAGGCCTGTCATCCCAGGACTGGAGAGACTGAGGCAGGTGGATCAGGAGTTCAGGGTTCAGGGTCATCCTTAGTTATATAAGGAGTTTGAGGAAGCCCTGGGCTACATGCAACCCTGTTTCAAAAAAATTGTTATTATTATTAATTTTAAAAAACAAATGGGAAGAAATGAGGCTTGGAGTTTGGAAGCTTCTAGTCGCCTGGCCAGGAGGTTGAGGGTTAATACAATTACTCTCTCCCAGGGCTGGGTTGGGGATGTGCCTGGCCATCTTTTTCCCACAGGCACTGCCTACCTGCCCCACTTCGGATGGTGTTCATTGGTGTGATCATCCGCCACTCATTCCTCTCAGGATAGTAACATTCTGCAGAATTGAGCCGGTTAGTCCCATCAAAGCCCCCAACCGCATACAGCAGGCGGTTAAGCACCGCCACGCCCACTCCGATCCTCCGTGTCAGCATTGGGGAGACCAGGTGCCACTCATCCCGCTCTGGCTCATATCTGCAAAGGACATCATTAAATCACCTTGGTGATGCCTGGGATCACAGGTGATGCTTATAATAAGCCCTGCCCCCTACTAGAAACAGGGTTTCCCTTTGTAGCCCAGGCTAGCCTCTCACAATCCTCCTGCCTCAGCCTGCCCAGCACTGGAATGCCAAGTGGACACCACCACTCTTGGCTCTGACCTCTTTAATCCTCTCAAGTAGGAAGGGGGTCAGAAGCTCTTTTTCCAGATAAAGAAACTGGGCAGAGTTATCAATTACATAAAGTGATCCCTAAGTCCCTTGACTCCAGTGACTTAATCATACCACAGCCCAGCCTCAGGTTGTGTCATCTGTAAGACTTTACCCCTGCCCCACCCAGTCTATTGGACACCCCACCCCACACCATGGCTGTCCTTCACAATACACATGAGAAGGTTTGCATTTGGAGAAATGGAATCGCACATTCAGGGGTCACCAAGGATCAGCAGGGCAGGACCCCAAATTTAACAGCTCGGTTACTGCCCAGCTGGTCCTCGAAGTGCCACAATCAGAGACGAGGTGAGCACTTGTCCCAGGTGGCCCAGGGGTGTCCAGTCCATACCTGTGTTCTTGGAGTTATTAATAGTCCCCCTGTCCTTCTTGAAAGTGGCCCGCTCAGGGTGACGCATCATCCCACCATCCTATTCATAGACCACACACATTAGAAGCCTCTGGGGCATTTATTTAAAATTCACATTTTAGGGCTGTGGAGGTAGTTCAGAGAGTAGAGCTCTGGCCTAGCATGCACGAATACCTGGGTTTGATACTCAGCACCACAAGTACAAATTTTAAAAAGAATTCTGATTTTTTTCTAACCTTTCTCCAAACTCTAATTTTGTGTATGTGTGTGTGTGTGGGGGGGGTTACTTGTTTCTTCTGAAAAAAGTTTTGATATAGCCCAGGCTGGTCTTAAACTTGCTATATAGTCAAAGGTGACCTTGAATTTCTGATCCTCCTGCCTCCACCTTCCAAGTGCTGGAATGACAGGTCATCACACTTGGTTTATACAGTGCTAGGGATGGAACCCAAGGCTTCCTGCTAGGCAAGTGCTCTACCTACCGGGCACATCCCCAACCTTTTACCTTTTGTTTTGCTTTGTTTTCTTTGTGTGTGTGTGTGTGTGTGTGTGTGTGTGTGTGTGTGTGTGTGTTGTGAGGCAGGGTCTCACTATGCAGCCCTGGCTGGCCTAGAACTCCCTAGGTAGACCAGGCTGGCCTCAATCTCACAGAGATCTGCCTGCCTCATTCGACTTCCTGAGTGCCGAGCGCACTTCCACACCTGGCCTTTTCTCTTTTTCTCTCTCTCTTCTCTCTCTCTCTCTCTCTCTCTCTCTCTCTTTCTCTCTCGCTCTCTCACTCTCTCGCTCTCTCGCTCTGTTCTAAGTGCTGGGAATGGAACCCAGGGCCTAGATCATGCAAGAGTTCTACCACTGAGCAACATCCCAATTCAGATGCCATTATTTTGACACAATTATGAAGCAATTAGCATATCACAACATAATATAAGAAAATTTGTATATTGTACCAATTTCTGTTCTCCCCAGCTGCACAGATAACTCCTATAGGTTTGGGACCACCCATCACTTCCCAACCCCAGTCGTTATGGAGGACAAAAGTCCCAGGGATTTAGCTTCATGTGGTAGAGGCAGGGGGACACATGCCCCACAGTGCAGCAGAGAGAATCCCGGGTCCCTATGGGACCCTCTGTGGTGGGACCTTCTAGCCCACCCCTGCGGACCCCAAGCTTACCTCTCCACGCTGCTATGGTGGATGCAACCATGGGAGCCTCCAACTGCATAGATGTGGCCATCTATGACCCCTACTCCGATCCGGTTCCGGGGCACACTCATGGAAGCACAAGGTGACCATTGGTTGGTCATAGGGTTGTAGCAGTCCAGCGCGTTGGAGTCGGTATTCCCATCCGGGGAGTTGTTGCGGCCTCCCACTGCGTACAGCAGACCCCCCACCACACAGCCTGCGAGGCCGCTCCTGGGCACCTGCAAATCGGCCAGGCGTAGCCATGTTCCGTTGCTGGGGTTGTAAGCCTCCAGGTAACTGAGTGACTGTCGAAAGTAGCCTCCTGCAGTGTAAATGAGCCGACCCACCTTGGGGGCCCGGCAGGGCATCACCTGAGTGGGCTTGTGCAAGGTCAACTCCTGGAAGATCTTCACCAGGTAGTCCTTGCAACGCGAGTCAGATTGCAAGATCTCGCATTTCTGCAGCTGCATCTGCAGGAAGTGTGGGGTGAGCGAGTGGCAGCGTACAGCCCGCAGCAGCGCCTGCACGTAGAAGCGCCGCTGCTCACAGTCGTACTTGACCCAGTTGATGCAGGCATGGAACACCTCCGACTCGCAGCGCACGTTCAGGTCATCCCGGCTGATGAGCGTGGCCAGCTGGCAGTGGGACAGGTTGAAGAACTCCTCTTGCTTGGCCACCTGCAGGGGGCGTGAGTGTCACAGTCTGACCCTGGGCTGTATGAACACCCCTTCACTCAATCAAGCCCCAGTGTCTCCTCGTCAAATCTCTCAGAGACATGACCTTGAACAAAGGATTGCATGACCTGATGGCCCTGAACAAATTATTCAGTGAAGTTCTCTTTGGAAATCTGGGTTGTCTAAATTTTTTTTTTTTTTAAAGATTTTTCTTTTGAACCAGGAGCAATGGCTCACACCTTTGATCCCCGTACTCTGGAGGCAGAGGTAGGTGGACCTCTGTGAGATTGAGGTCAGCCTGGTCTATATACAGCAAGTTCCAAGTTTGCCAGAGCTACATAGTGAGACCTTGCCTCAAAAAAAATTTTTTAATTAATTAATTTATTATTGTCTTTTTAAGACAGGGTCTCCCTATAGTCCCAGCTGGCCTAGAACTCACTATGTAGACCAGGCTGGCTTCAAATTCATGGAGATCCCCTTGCCTCTGCCTCCTGAGTTTTCAGGATCAAAGGCATGTGCCACCACACCTGTTATTTTTTTTTTCTTTTTTTTTTCTTTTAATGTGTATGCATGTATTGCCTGCATGTAGGTAAGTGCACCCATGTTGTGCAATGCCTGTGGAGGCCAGAAGAGGCTGTTAGATCCCCTGGGACTGGAGTTACAGACAGTTGTTAGCTGCCATGTGGGTGCTGGGATTCAAACCCGGGTCTTCTGCAAGAACAACCAGTGTTCTTAACCGCTGAGCCATCTCTCCAGCCCCCCACACCCCTTATTTTTTTATTATGTGTATTAGTGTTTTGCTTGCATGTATGTAAGTGTACGACATGAGTGCAATGCCCTCGGAAACCCAAAGAGGACATCAGAACCCCTGGAAATGGAGTTCAGACAGTTGTTAGCTATCCTGTGGTTGTTAGGAACAGAACCAGGGTCGTCCTCTGCAAGTGCAGACAATGTTCTTAACTGCTGAACCAGCTCTCCGCAGAAATCTTGATTTAAATTTTTTTTTAAAATGTTTTTTATTGTTGTACCTGGTGATGGTGCATACCTTTAATTTCAGTACTCAGGAGGCAGAGGCAGGTGGATCTCTGTGTTTGGGGCCAGCCTGGTCTACATAGCTCATGAGTTCTAGGTCAGCCAGGGATACACAGTGAGACCCTGTTTCAAAATTTTTTAAAAAAAGTTTATTTATTATTTTTATGTGTATGCATGTATTGCCTGCATGTAGGTAAGTGCACCCGTGTCATGCAATGCCTGAGGAGGACAGAAGAGGCTGTCGGATCCCCTGGAACTGGAGTTACAGACAATTGTTAGCTGCCGTGTGGGTGCTGGGATTTGAACCTGGATCTTCTGCAAGAGCAGCCAGTGTTCTTAACTGCTGTGCCATCTCTCCAGCCCCAAAACTTTTTTAAAAATGTATTTATCTTTATGTATACATGTGTATTGCCTGCATGTTGGTAAGTGCACACATGTCGTGCAATGCCTGCAGAGGCCAGAAGAGGCTGTCAGATCCCCTGGAGTTATGGACAGTTGTTAGCTGCCATATGGGTGCTGGGATTCGAACCCGGGTCTTCTGCAAGAACAACCAGTCTTCTTAACCGCTGATCCATCTCTCCAACCCCCCAAAACCTTTTTTAAAATCACATTTAATTATACACTCTGTGTATGTGTGGGGTGGGGGTGTTTCCACACCAGCCAAACAACTTGTGAGAGGCAGTTCTGTCCTTCCACCACATGGGCCCCTGGGATTGAATTCGGATCTTCAGGCTTGGTAACAGGTGCTTCACTCACTCAGCCGTCTGGGACACTCAGGTTTTTTTTGTTTTGCTTTGTTTTGTTTTGTTTGGGGGGGGGCTTTTTTGGTCTTTTGAGACAGGGTCTACCTGCAGCCCCAGTCAGGCTGGAACTCACTATGTAGACCAGGCTGGCCTTGAACTCACAGAGATCCACCTGCCTCTGCCTCCCAAGTGCTGGGATTAAAGGCCTGTGCCACCATGCCCAGCAGGTTTTTGGTTTTTTTTTTAAGACGGGTTTTGTGCAGCTTGGGCTAGTTTCAAACTGACTGCAGACCTGAGGATGGCCTTGCATTTTGGATCCTCCTGCCAGCCTTGGGATTAAAACTGGGATGGCAACAGAAAAGGCCCTTGCCACCAAGCCTGAAAAGCTGAATTTGATCCCCCAGATCTACATGACAGAAGGAGAGAACCAACTCCTGCAGGTTGTCCTCTGACTGCTACATATGTATGGTGGGACATGTATGTCCCCCCAACCAAATGCAGTAAAAATTAAAAACCAATAGGGCCTGGAGAGCTTGCTCAGTGATTAAGAGCCCTGGCTGCTCTTGCAGAGGACCAGGGTTTAGTTCCCAGCACCCACAGGGTGGCTAACAACTGTCTGTACATCCAGTTCCAGGGATCTGACACCCTCTTTTGGGTTCATGGGCACTGTCTGCATGTGGTGCACTTACATACATGAAAAGAAACACTTATACACATAAAATAAAAATCAATTTTTAAAATAATGTAAAACTTGTAAAACTTTTTATTTATTTATCTAAAGTGTATGAGTGTATTGCCTGAATATATATGTGTACTGGTGTCATGCAATGTCCACGGAGGCCAGAAGAGGGCGTCTGGAAAAGGAGTTACAATTGTTAGTCACCATGTGGGTACCAGGAGTCAAGTCTGTGTCTTCTGAAAGAGCAGACAGTGCTCTTAACCACTGAGCTAGCTCTCCAGCTTCAATATTTTTTTTCAATAATTTTTTTTTCTTTTTTTTTTTAATGTGTACAAATGTATTGCCTGTATGTATGTGAGTGCACCTGTGTTGTGCAATGCCTTGGAGGTCAGAAGAGGACATCAGATTCACCTGGAACTGGAGTTATGGACAGTTGTTAGCTGCCATGTGGGTTCTGGGAATCGAACCCAGGTTCTCAGTGCTCTTAACTGCTGAGCCATCTCTCCAGCCCGTGTCTTTTTTTTTTTTTTTTTTTGAGACAGGGTCTCCCTGTAGTCCCAGCTGGCCTGGAACTCACTGTGTAGACCAGGCTGGCCTCGGTATCAGGGAGATCCACCTGTGCCTCCTGAGTGTTGGGACTAAAGGTGTGCAATATCACATACAGTGCTAGGGATTCCTTTTTTTTTTTGAGACAGGGTCTTCCTGTAGGCCCAGCTGACCTGGAACTATGTAGACCAGGCTGGCCTGGAACTCAGAGAGAGCCGCCTATCTCTGCCTCCCAAATGCTGGAATTAAAGGCATGTGCCACCATGCCCAGTGGGAACCCAGGGTTCTTGCATGCTAGGCTAGCCCTTTGGCCCCCGAGGGTCATTTCATACTCTATTTTTTAAAGTACTTGTGTTCTCACTGCCACCCATCTTGTGAGGTCAGGTACACAATACTCCTCTTGAGACCAAGGCGTGGGTGTCCAAACAGGTTTAGAATTTGGAGCTTTTCGGATTTGGGATTTTCAAATTAGAGTGAATCAGTCTATGGGACAGTCTTTCCACAACTGCCACCTAAGAGCCAAGGTTGCTTCTGACTGTGACTTTTTCCAAGAACTCTGCTGTTATTTTCCCTTGACTTCCTGCACTGAGAAACGAAAATGAAAGCAATAACATTATATGAACCCAAGAAAGCACAACCAAAGCTCAAATCGCTGTTCCCAGCCTGCCAGGGGTTGATAAGAGATTTGTTGACTGCGTGTTCTGATGGCCACACGCTGTCCCCACATTTATTTTTCATTTATTTCTTCTTTCTTTTGGTTTTTTTTTTTTTTTTTTTTTTTGTTTTTTTTGGAAAGTCTCCCTGTAGTCCCAGCTGTCCTGGAACTCACTATGTAGACCAGGCTGGCCTTGAACTCACAGAGATCTGCCTGCCTCTGCCTTCCAAGTGCTGGGACTAAAGGTGTGTGCCGCCATGCCCAGCTTCTTTTTGGGTTTTTTTTTTTTCCTTTGGTCTTTTTGAGACAGGGTCTCCCTGTTGCTCCAGCTGTCCTGGAACTCACTATGTGGACCAGGCTGGCCTTGAACTCACAGAGATCCGCCTGCCTCTGCCTCCTGAGTGCTGGGATTAAAGGCGTGCGCCACCACGCCCGGCTTCTTTTTGGGTTGAGAGAGGGTCTCACTATGTAGCCCAGGCTGATCTTGATCTCACAAAGATCACCTGCCTCTGCCTCCCAAGTGCTGGGATTAAAGATCTGCACCACCACAGGCTGGTCTCAAACTCAATGCAGTCATCCTGCCTCATCTACCAAGTGCTCAGACTACAGGCATGATCCCATCTGGCTATCACCACCTTTGACCCCTGAGAAACCAGGCTGCTGAGAGATCCTAAAGACCACATGTCCCCCTGTTCCCAGGGTCTCCTATCCAGATTAGGAACTTAAAACCCAAGTTTTGGTCAGATGTGGTGGCTTTACTCCCAGCATTTGGGAGGCAGAGGCAGGTAGAGCACTGTAAGGTCAAAGCTAGCCTGGTCTACATAGTGAGTTCCAGGCCAGCTGGGACTACAGGAAGACCCTATCTCCGGAAAAAAATAAATAAATAAAAAGAGTTTAAAGTACCCTCAGGGTTCAGGGGACTGGAGAGCTGGCTCAGCAGTTAAGAGCACTAACTGTTCTTGCAGAGGACCTAGGTTTGGTTCCCAGCTAACAATTGTCTTTAAGTCCAGTTCCAGGATATCAAACGCATTCTTCCATCCTCCAAGGTACTATAGGAACATGGTGCACTTATACACATGCAGGCAAAACACGCATACACATAAAATAAAAATAAGTGTAAAAAAAATTTTTTTTAAGTTTCCTCAGCTAATCAATCAGATTTGGGCTGGGCTGGGCTAGTGAGACCCTGTGGGGTAAATAAAGAAAGAGAGAAAGAGGGGGGTCACAGAAACCTCAGCTTTCCTCCAGTCGTGAATGACGTTCCAGCGTCAGGGGCTGATGGTGAGGTGATGCCCGTCTAGTCCCCACTGCTAGTGAGTGTCCCAAAGCCCCACCTCTTACTCACCTCTCCAAAATGCATGCAGATGTACTCCCTAGCACGCTGGTGCAGCTCGCTGCAGCCGATCTGCTCAGCGAAGTTGGCAATGCCAATGGCATTGCTGGGATCCAACTGCTGCACCAGGAAGTCGCTGCAGGCACGAACCACGCTGTCAATCTGGTACATGACGGCCCCGTTCATCACATGCAGCACGCACTTCTCGCCCATGGAGATGGAGGCAGTATAGGCAAACTCAATGAGGCGCTCCATCACCTTGGGGTGAATGCCCTCAATGGATACAACCTCCATGCCTTGCTCCCGGAGCCCGTTGGTGAACATGGCCTTAAACACTGGGCTGGAGGACGCCAACACCACCTTGTGAGCCATGAACTGGGCTGCTGGGATGTCCTCGTATTTGACCTGCAGAGTCACGTCACAGAGTTGCTGGCTAAGGCGAAGTTCGTTCATGATGCCGAAGGCCTGCTTGGTGTGGTCCTCGAGGGTGTAGCTGAAAGTACGGTTCCCATCCTGGGAGGGTGTCACCTCTGCCTTGCACTCTGTGGAGGCGTACATCACCGTGTCCCCTGCCCCCTCAGGGCACTTTGACCACAGGGGTAAGAACTGACTGCTGCGGGCTCGAGCCCCGCTAGGCCTGGCTTCGGGTTGCATGGGGTTCCCAGAAACAGGACACAGTACCACCAATGAGAGTCAGGGACCTGGAAAGCATAAGAGTACAGAGTTGGCGACAGAGCCTGGCCTGGGCCAAGTTCTGCATATATATAATTTTGTTTTTAATTTTATGTGTATGAGTGTATTGCCTGCCTGTATGTGAGTGCACCCATGTCATGCAATGCCTCGGAAGTCAGAAGAGTGCATCAGATTTCCCTGGAAATGGAATTAAGGACGGTTTGTAGCTGCCATGTGGGTGCTAAAAATCGAACCTGGGTCTTCTGCAAGAGCAGTCAGTGCTCTTAACCTCTGAGCCATCTCTCCAGCCCCTGCCCATATTTGTTAAAAGTTTATTTTATGTGTATAAAGTGTTTGTCTGCATGTATGTAAGTGTACCACGTGTGTAGTACCTGCAGAGGCCAGAAAAGGGAATCAGACTCCTTGGACCTGAAGTTATAGGCAGTTGTTAGCCTCCATGTGGGTGCTGGGAATCAAACCCAGGTCCTCTGCAAGAGCAATCAATGCTCTGAACCACTGAGCCAGCTCTCCAGCTTCTCTTTCTCTCTCTTTTATTTTATTTTATTTATTTATTTATTTATTTTGAGAGAAGGTCTCACTAGCCCTGGCTGGTGTTGAACTTGCTATGTAAACCAGGCTGGGCTTGAACTCACACAGCTCTGCCTGCCTTTGTCTCCCCAGTGTAGGGATTAAAAGTGTGAGCTACCATGCTCTGCCAGACTACTTGTTTTTTTCAAAAAACAAGTAGGGTCTCATATAGCCCAGGCTGGCATCAAACTCAATAAGTAGCCAAGGCTGGCCCCTTGAACTCCTGATTCTCCTGCATCCACCCTGCAAGTGCTGGGATGACAGGCCTGCACCACCTTGCTTGGACAACCTTCCTTCTGTAAGTAACTGTGATTTCTAGATCAGTTTTCCTAACCCAGCAAACTCAATACACTTGGTTCCATTCAAACTGCTATCTTCTCCCTAACGCTCTAGCCCACAGTCTAGAAACAGGTCACATGTCCCTTCCACTAAGCCTGAGTAGAAACCCAACTCCTCAGTGACTTGCAAAACCCCAGTCAGCCCCTCTCGACCACTTCATGAATTTTGCTCTAACTGTCTTTCCCTTTCTGTCCCTTCTTCCATCATGCCAAATCCATTCCTTCAAATCAACTCACCATTTAGAGAGTGAGCCATGTGCACTACAAAGTGTTTTGAGCCACAGGGACACAGCAGTGTGCAAAGACAGGGAAGGGGCTGGAGAGCTGACTCAGCGGTTAAGACCCAGGATTGATTCCCAGCACCCACATGGCAACTAACAATCATCTGTAACTCCAGTTCCAGGGGATCTGATGCCCTCTTCTGACTTCCACAGGAATTGCACACTATGGGTGCACTTACACACATGTAGGCAATACACATGCATACACATAAAAATAAAATATTAAGTTGAATAAAGACAGACAGGGAAGGCACATCAAAGTAAGTGCAAAGGTCCTGGGTCAGAAAATGTGGATAGTCAAAGAGGCCCACGGTGTGTCCAGTACAGGGATTCAGGGTGACCCATGAAGCCCTGGGGACAGGGAATGAGTTATGTTTAGAAAAAGGAGTGTGTGGAGGGGTGAGGTTTTGTCTCCCTAGGTTCTGGAGTTCAGCCCTGAGTACCTCCAGCTCTTTTATTTCTACCATTGCACATTTGAAGGCAGATAGAAACAGCCCAACTTCCCGGTCTTGGAGAGCGGAGAGCCTAGTGTAAGATGCTGATTCACGCGCGTGTACACACACACACACACACACACACACACACACACACACACACACACACACACACACTGCGCTTGGAGCCCCAGGCCTGGCCATGCGCAGAAGACTGTAAAGCGGGCGACTGGCTGGCTGCCCCAGGCCCTGTTGGCTGCCAGAGCGGCCTCCTCCACCCGGCCCAGGAGGCGCAACACTCGGGGAGGTGTGGGGAGCCCCGTGTGATGCAGAGACCTTCAGATCGACCTCTTTGTCTTTAGCCAAACTGATCAACGGTGCCCCGATAGACGTTGGGCCCTGGCCCCCAACCCCCACGAAAATCCAAGCGAGGTCTGCGCATGCCCCTTCGGAGCCGCGCCACCCAGGCCTTGGAGGGCAGAGGAAGTGACCCCACCGTGCGGCCCTCCCAAAGCGCAGACTCAAGCACCCCTAACCAGGGGTCTCCCGCGCCGGGAGATCGGTGCTGCAGAAGGGCAGCTGCCGTGGGGGACCCTCTCCCCGGGGTTTTGATGGTTCTCAGGCCACCCCAGGGAGTACCACGGTCCCCAGGCCGCATCCTACTGGCTCAGAGCATAGGATGGGGGACACCCCACTGACACCAGGTGCATGGGTTTGCAGGGTCCCCAGTTTCAGGATCCCAGGGCCGCAGCGATGTCCGCTGCTCCCCGGGTGCAGGCCGCCTCACTCACCCCGCCATGGCCGCGCTCGGGCTCCGCCTCCGCCGGGGCCCCGCCGCCTCCATCACCAGGCGAAGGCGGAGCGCTCAGGTCACCGTGACTAAGCAGAGCCCGGCCCCGGCCCTGTCACAATAAGAGTCCCCGCGGGGGGTGGGGGGGCTGGGCCTGGAACTGCAAGGGGGGCCAGGCATGTGGGGAAGGGTACCCTCCACACACTCTGCTGCAGCCTGTCATCACACAGATACAGGGCCACCAGAGTGCGCGCACCGCACAGACAGGGACACGCGCCTCCTTCCCTCCATCCTGAGGCTGCACCCCAGAGCTGATGCACGCTGCATCAGCTGACCCCACTGCATCCTGCTCGCTCGTCTCGATCCCCCCACCCCATGTCATCTCTGTAGGGTGCAGTGCGATGACCCGGAGCACCCTGGTGCCACCCACGCGCCTCGCTTCCGAGGGGGGCCCAGGCCTGCTGCACGGGCTGGGTTTCCAGTGTCACCTGGATGGAGGGGGATCCGGGGTGTCACTGCCGTTGGGGGGGTCTGGGATGGATGTGCCTCGGAGGAGGGGACAGCGGTGGCTGCGGGGTCTCTGCCGGCAGGACGCGTGGGGAAGAGGTAGGGAGAAGACGGAAAGGGCGAGGCACGGAAGGGTAGGCTATTCCCCGCCCTTCCCGCTAGTGCCAGGGCGGGAAGGAGCAGTGGGCTCCGGCTGAGCTGGGCTAGATCAAGTCACTGTTACCTGGGAGCTGTCCCCTCCTTAACGTGGTCTGCAACGCAGATGCCCAACACCCCACAGGACCTAGCTAGAGGGATCTGCCTGGTTGAGTTTTGAAAATTAACATTTATTTATTATTTATTTATTTATTTACTTTGTGTATCTGTAGGGGGTGTATGGACCACTGCACCCTGGTGGAGATCAGAGAACAGTCTGGGGGAGTCTGTTCTCTCTTCCTATCACTAGTCCCCAGGAATTGAACTCAGGTCAGCAGATTTGGTTCCAAGGGAGTTTACCCACTGTGCCATCCTGCGGCCCCTTGTGAGTTTCCAGTTATCTTGTTGTTGTTGTTAATCTCTCATTAGGAGTGTGGAGGTAGTCTGAAAGGATTGGACGGCCCAGGTCTGTCTCTCTACAGTTTTCCACAAACACTTGATTTTTTTTTCCCAATGTGTATTTTTTAATTGAATTTTTGTGGATTTAATACAATATATCTCAATCATATTTAGGCCCCCTTACCTATCTGCACCTCCCCATAGCCTGCCCACAGGATTTCATTCATTCTACCATATATGTTAAGGCCTATTGAGTCAAGTTTAAATGCCCAGATGTCTCTCATGGAGATTTTTTTAAATTATTGATTTATTTTTATTTTATGTGTAAGAGTGTATTGTCGGAATTTATGTAAGTGCACCCGTGTTGAACATTGCCCAAAGAGGACAGAAGACGGTCTCAGATCTCCTGGAACTGGAGTTATGGACAGTTGTTAGCCACCATGTAGGTGCTGGGATTTGAACCCTGATCTTCTACAAGAGCAGCCAGTGTTCTTAACTGCTGAGCCATTTCTCCAGACTCTCAGTGTGAGATTTTTTTATTTTTATTTTTCTGTCTTTTTGAGACAGGGTCTCCCTATAGCCCCAGCTGACCTGGAACTCACTATGTAGACCAGCCTGGCCTCGAACTCACAGAGATCTGCCTGCCTCTGCTTCCCAAGTGCTGGGATTAAAGGTATGTGCCACCATACCCCTCCTGAGATTTTTTTTAAAGTATTTTATTTATTATTTTTTTATTTTGTGTGTATGAGTGTTTTCCCTGCATGTATATGAATGTACTTGAGGCATGCAATGCCAGTGGAGGTCAGAAGAGAGCACGGGATCCCCAGTAATAGGAGCTATGGACAATGGTTACCCACCTTGTGGGTGCTGGGAATCAAACCTAGGTCCTCTATAAGGGCAGCCAGTGCTCTTAACCACTGAGCCATCTCTCCAGCCTCCCTAGCTTTTAAAAAACATTTATTTTACCTTAAGTCAGGCATGATGGCACATGCTTTTAAGTCCAGCACTCAGGAGGCAAAGGCAGGGGAATCTCTGTGATATCAAGGTCAACCCATTCTACATAGTGAGTTCCAGGTCACCTGGGGCTATAGGGAGACCCTGTCTCAAAAAAAGAGCCCACCTCAAGAAAAAAGATTTATTTTATGTGTATGAGTGTTTTACCTACGTGTATGTAAGTATACCATGTGTATGCAATGCCCACAGAGGCCAGAAGAGGATGCTGGATCTCCTGGAACTGGTGTTAAGGACAGTGGTATCCATCACGTGGGTGCTGGAAACTGAACCCGGGTCCCCTGCAAGAACAGTCAGTGGTCTTAAGCACTGAGTCACTGCTCCACCCCCAATGCTTTTAATAGTAAGGGGTACTTACTTGATGTATTTGGGTCTGTGATATAAAGTTATTTCTTGGGTTGTCAAGATGATGCAGCTGGTAAAGGCACTTGGTGCCAATCCTGATGGCCTGAGCTCAATTCCTGAGACCCACATTGTGGAAGGCCTACAACTGACTCCTGCAACTTGTTCTCTGACCTCCACATAAGCATAAACAAACTTACTAATAAAAAATTTTTAGTACTGGTCATGTGCAATGGCACACACCTTTAATCCCAGCACTCAAGAGGCAGAGGCAGGCAAATCTCTGTGAGATCCAGGTCAGTCTGGTCTACATAGCAAGTTCCAGGCCAGCCAGGGCTACAGAGTGAGACCCTGACTCAAATATTAACAATTAATAAAGATTATTTTCTTATTAGTTGACTGATTTTGGAGACAATATATCATTATGTAGCCCAGGTCCATTTAAAATCTGGACCCTCCTGGTTTTGAGAGTGCAGGCATGCTCCTTATCTCTCAGCTCCTTTATTTTCTTCTGATACAAAGTAGGGGCCAGAGAGATGGCTCAGCGGTTAAGAGCACTGACTGCTCTTGCAGAGGACCCAGGTTTGATTCCCAGCACCCACATGGTGGCTACGAACCATCCTTAGCTCCAGTTCTAGGGGCATCCGAAGCCCTTTCCTGACCTCCGAGGCATTGCATGACACAGGTGCACTCACACACGCGCAGGCAATACACTCATACACATAAAAAAATAATAATAATAAGTATTTTTTTTAAAAAAGTATCACTAGGGCTGGAGAGATGGCTTAGTGGTTAAGAACACTGACTGTTCTTGCAGAAGACCCAGGTTCAAATCCCAGCACCCACATGGCAGCTAACAACTGTCCGTAACTCCAGGTCCAGGGGATCCAACAGCCTCTTATGTCCTCTGCGGGTATTACACAACATGGGTGCACTTACCTACACGCAGGCAATACACACATACGCATAAAATAAAAATAATAAAATATTTTTAAAAAAAAGTATCACTATAGGGGCCAGGTGTACCCTGTGAGTTCAAGGCCAGCCTGGTCTACATAGTGAGTTCCAGGACAGCTGGGGCTTGGGAGACCCTGTCTCAGAAAGACCAAAAAAAAAAAAAAAAAAAAAAAGAAAATAAAAAAAAAAAAAAAAAAAAAGTATCACTATAATAAAAGCAGTTCAAGACCAATTTGAGTAACATAGATCAGTCACCACATTAATTAGAAAATTAATTTAATGTATATACAATTTCCAAGATAATAGTATTTCTAGTTGTGTTTTTTTAAGTTTAAAGATTACTATTTTTTATTTTATGTATATTTGTGTTATGCCTGCGTGTATGTAAGTGCACCTGTGTCATGCAATTCCTGTGGAGGACAGAAAAGGGAGTCTGATCACTTGGAACTGGAGTTACCAATGGTTGTTAGCCACCATGTGGGTGCTGGGATTTGAACCCAGGTCTACTGCAGGAACAGTGTATTAGTCACTTTTCTGTTGCTGTGAAGAAACACTGACCTGAGCAACTTATAGAAGGAAGAGTTTATTTGAGCTTACGGTTCCAGGGGAATTACAGTCCGTCATGGCAGGGAGGCATGGTGGCTGGAGGTGGCTGGACCAGGAGCAGCAGAAGCTAAGCTCTCACATCATCACGCAGTCACAGGCAGCAAGAGAGCGACTGGAGATCTGGCAAGGCTTGAAAACTCTCCCACCCTCCAGTGACATGCTTCCTCCAGGATAGTCACACCTTCTAAAACTTCCCAAAACAGCGCCATCATCTGGGGACATTTTCATTCAAACCACCACAGCCAGCTCCCTTAACCACTGAGCCATATCTCTATCCCCATTTCTTCCTTTCTCTTTTTTTCTTTCTCTTAATTCCTTCCTTCCTCCTTCCTTCCTTCCTTCCTTCCTCCTTCCTTCCCTCCCTCCCTCCCTCCTTCCTCCTCCTTCCTCCCTTCCTTCCTTTCTTTCTTTCTTTCTTTCTGTCTTTCTTCCTTTCTTTCTCCATGTAGACCAGGCTGGCCTTGAACTCACAGTGATCTGCCTGCCTCTGCCTCCCGAGTGCTGGGATTAAAGACATGTGCCACCACACATTTTTTATTTTTTAAAAATGCTGTTGATTTATTTTTTATTTATGTGTATAAGTGTTTTCCCTGCATGTATTTAAGTGCACAACATGCATGCAAGTTCTGCAGAGGCCAGAAGAGGCTGTCAGATCCCCTAGACCTGGAGTTACAGACAGTTGTTAGTTGTCATGTGGGTGCTGGGAACTGAACCCAGGTCCTCTGTGAGAGCAGCCAGTGCTCTAAACTGTTGAGCCATCTCCCCAGCTCCTTGTGGGTTTTGTTTTGGTTTTGATTTATTTTGTTTTGAGATAAGTTCACACCTTGTAGACCAGGCTGACCTCAAACTCATAGAGCTTCACCTGCCTCTGCCTCTGGGTGCTGGGATTAAAGGTGTGCACCACCGCAGCTAACTGAATTTTTTTTAAAGCATTTTTATTTATTTAATGTTGCGTGTGGAAGGGATAAAGTACACTCATGCTATGGTACCTGTAACCCCAGTACTCAGGAGGTTGAAGCAAGAAGATTGCCACAAGTTCAAGACCAACCTGGACAACATAACAAGATCCTGGGTAAAAAACAAAACCCAGGCTGGTGAGCTGGCTCATCAGGAAAAAATACTTGCAGCCAAGCCTGATAATTTGAGTTTGTCCCTGGGACCTATATGGTAGAAAGAGAGAACAGCTCCTGCAAGTTGTCCTCTGAGCTCCATACACATGTGTATGAATAAACACACATACACAATGACTAGATTAAAATGTAATATTTTTATTCTTAAATTTATGTATTTTTATTTTATGCATATCAGTATTATGCCTGCATATATGTAAGTGCACCATGCATGCAATGCCTGATAGAATGTGTAAATTGCAAGAGAGTCATAAGCTTCCTTACATAAATTCCTCTAGGTAGCTAATGGCCAAAGCTGGCAGCTTGGCCTTTGATCAGGACTTAACAACTAGCCACTTCCCTGGCTCACAGAGACTGCTTAGAGTCAATCTAACCACTGCTGTGCCAAAAGATAACTTGACTGCTCATCTTGAGAAAATAACCTCAGGAAGGAAGACCCTCAAGTACCCCAAAGACACTAACACCTGACACCAAGCAAATTCCCGCAGCTCTGTTCAGCAGAACTCCTATATAAGACCAGATCGTTTTGCTTATGCTGATGTCCGTATCCATGGACAGCAGGGGCCCTTTGTATGTTCCCTTCAATAAACCTATTCCTTGCCTGTTGCAGGTCTGACTCTGGTTCTTATTTCTTAGCTTTAAACTCCTTCCTTTTTTTGGTGCACTTGTGTTCTTGGAAAAAGGTTGGTTTTTGCGCTTGCGTCTGAAGCCCCAGTTTATGTGCGACTGAGAGTCTCCAAGGCTCTGTGGATGGTCCTTCACCTCATCTTCCTGAAGTTCCCAGAGCAGCCACAAGGTGGCATGCTGCAGCTTAAAGCAGCCAGAGGCTCCCCACTCGGCCCAGAGGCTGCCTGCACTTCTCAAGGCTGCCGCAAGGTGGTGCAATGCCGTTTAACCACCAACCCGAGGCCCGCCTGCAGCAACCACCCATCCATCACCTGTGCCAGGGGTCAAAAATGTGTCTATGGCCAGGCGTGGTGGCGCACACCTTTAATCCCAGCACTAGGCAGGCGGATCTCTGTGAGTTCGAGGCCAGCCTGGTCTCCATAGCTGAATCCAGGTCAGCTAGGGCTACAGGGAGACCCTGTCTCAAAAAAAAAAAGAATGTGTCTAGGGACCCGCTGGTGACACAAGGCTACCCAGCCTTTTATTTTTATTTTTATTTTATGTGTATGAGTGTATTTCCTGCATATATGTGAGTGCACCCGTGCCGTGCAATGCTGCGGAGGTCAGAAGAGAGCTTCGAATTCCCCTGGAACTGGAGTTAAGGATGGTTCGCAGACGCCATGTGGGTGCTGAGACTTGAACTTGGGTCCTCTGCAAGAGCAATCAGTGCTCTTAACCGCTGAGCCATCTCTCCAGCCCCCACCCAGCCTCTTACAGCCACAAATTAGGGCCCTGGTATCTTCAGGTGCAAGAATGCAGACCCTCCAGGGGAGTGTTGCACTCCAGCCTTGCCTGAGTTCTCTAAGAGCAGAGGACACTAGTCCACCCCTGCTGAATGCTTGAAGGCACTGTTGCCAAGACAGCGGGGCAGCATTCACCATGTGCAGGTTCTTCATCTGTCAAATGGAGAGTGAGGGGTTGGTGCTGGAGCTCAAGAGGGTAGAGTGCTTGCCTACTAGCATGCACACAATCCTGGGTTGATACCCAGCACCACATAAAACAGGTGTGGGTGGCATTCACCTGTCATCCCAGCACTAGGGAGGTGAAGGCTAGAGGATCAAAAGTTCAAGGTCGGGGCTACAGGGAAAAGACGAATGAATGAATGAATGAATGAATGAATGAATGAAAATTTCAAGGTCATCTTTGGCTACACAGTAAATCTGAAGCCAGCCTAGGTTACATGAAACCTCTCAAAAAAAAAAAAAAATCACGAAGGGCAGCAACATGGCTCAGCAAGTAAAGGAGATCGTGGCCAAGTCTCACAACCTACATTAGATCTCTGGGATCCACATGGTGGAAGGAGAAAGCTGACTTCCACAAGTTGTCCTCTGACCTGCACACTCTTGCCACGGTATATGGGTATCCATACTCATACACACAGACACAAAATAAATCAAATAATTTTTGAGACATTGTCTCACTATTTAGCCCTGGATGGTCCCACAGAAATCTGCCTGTCTCCGACTCCCAATTGCTGGGATTAAAGGCGTGCACCATCACTCCCAGCTCAAATAAAATATTTTAAAATATTTATTATTTTTTTGTGTGTATGAGTGTATTGCCTGCATGTATGTGAGTGCACCCGTGTTGTGCAGTGCTGCAGAGGTCAGAAGAGGGCTTCGGAATCCCCTGGAAGTGGAGTTAAGGACAGTTCGTAGCTGCCATGTGGGTGCTGGGACTTGAACCCGCGTCCTCTGCAGGAGCAGTCGGTGCTCTTAACTGCTGAGCCATCTTGCCAGCCCCTCAAACAAAATACTTTAAAACCAACGAGGGTGTTGGCATGATGGTGCACACCTTTAATCCCAGTACCACAGAAGCAGAGGCAGGTGGATTTTTGTGAGATGGAGGGCAGCCTGGTCTACATAGGGAGTTCCAGGCTAGCTGGTGCTACACAGTGAGATTCTTTCCCAAAAAAAGCAGGGGATGAGAGCTCACCCCCTCAAAATTGATGAACACTTATTTTGAAAGATGACAGTAAGGGTAAGAAAGCAAAGCTGAGGGCTGTACGGCTGGCTCAGCAGTTAAGAGCACTGGCTGTTCTTGCAGAGAACCCAGGTTCAGTTTCCAGCACTCACATAGCAGCTAACAACCATCTGCAACTCCAGTTGCAGGGATTCAATGCCCTCTTCTGGCCTCTGTGAGCACTGCATGCATGTGGTGCACTTCCATACATGCAGGTAAAACTTTCACACATAAAATAAATATTTTTTAAGCAAAGCTTTAATGGCTCTTACTGTTTTATTGTACTTGCATTTTGCATGAAGAATTTGACACTGCATTCTAGAAGTTTGGTGGTCAGGATTTGTCTAAGTATCCCAGAGTCAAATTCTTGGAGCTGACCTTGCTCTCTACAACTCTTCTCAGTCCCCACCCACCTCTTATTCTGTCTGCTACCTGCACACAGCATCTCACTTGGCTCTGCAACTCACCTGGTTCTGATCATGCTGACAGCTGCGTCCCCCCCCCCCACACCTTCTTCTGGTTGCTATCTTTGAAGCCACCCTGGTCAAAGAGCACCTGTGCAGGCCTGAATGGAGGCATGTCCTCCCTCTGTTTAGAAATCTCTATGGCTCCCACTTTACTCAGAGCCAAAGGCCCTTCCTCAGAACCCATCAGGCCTCACACAACCTGCCCTCTCATCTCATCTATCCCCATCTCTGCTCCTTCTATTTTCTCTCAGCCACATTAGGATCTTCGCTTTTCATAAACCCTATGAGCTACTGGACACAGTGCTCACCTTCACCCCCAGCACTTGGGAGGCAGAGGCAGGTGGATCTCTTGTGAGACTGAGGTCAGCGAGTTCATGGCAAGCTGGGGACACATGGAGGCTGTTCTTAAAAAAATTAAATAGAAAATGGAAAAAATAAAATAGAAAATAAAAATAAACCCCATGAGCCCTAGGGCCTTTGCACACACTGTAAGGCTCTTCTGGCAGGCTGTCTCAGCTCCCACATCACTACCTCTACACCATCCCCTGGCTATATTGTCAATGGAATTACTCCATCTGCCTATCGTTGTTGGTGTGCCCTACCAGAGCTTCAAACACACAAAGGGCGGGTTTTTTATTCTGTTCCAGGGTTTAGTGCCAGTAAACCATTTCCCTTGCATCTTTTCGGCTTTACCGTCTTGGGCTGTGCTTCCTCCAAATGGGTTTGTTCTGAGTCATTCTGCTCTTGGGAAGGGCGACAGAGGGTTGGAGAGCATCAATCTGCAGAGAGTTCAGGTACCAGAGTCTGGCTGGCCACAGCTGGTCCGGGGCTGCCAGTGGAATAGCTGGTGTCCATCCCTTCCAGCTGCGGAGAGGAACTGCGATCCAGACCTGGTGGCAGGCAGCTTTTCAGGCCTCTACCACCACCACGCCCCGAAGGCTCAGGGGCGCTGGGGGATCTCTGCAAGCTGCCAGAGGAGCCTGAGCTGCAGGGACAGCGGCCACAGCAGAGCAGCCGCAGAAGTGCATGGCGCAGGTCTCGGTTGGTGAACGTATAGATGATAGGATTGAGGAGCGAGTTAGCCATGGCTAGACCCAAGAAGGGGTCAGCCTGCAGGAGCACCGGACATGCGCGAGCTGGGCATGCCACATCCAGCAACAGCAAGAGGAACAGGGGTCCCCAGCAGACCACAAAGGCTAGGAGGACCACACTGAGTGTGCGCAACAGGGCCAGCGACCTGGGGGCGCGACGGGCTCTGGTGAAGGTGGCCCTAACTGAACCCGGCCCGGTCCGTCGGCGACGCGCGTTGGCTCTCACCTGGCAATAAATCCGTGCATAAAGTGCGCAGATGGCAGCCAGGATGCCCACGAAGGCCAGAACGCAGAAGAGGACGTAGGCTTTTGCATAGAGTGGCAGGACGGTGGAACAGGCCTCCAGGCGACCCAGGCAATTCCAGCCCAGCGCTGGCAGCAACCCAAGCAGCAACGACACGCTCCAGGCCGCCACCGCCAGAGCCACCGTACGACCCCGACTGGCTGCAGGTGCAGGTCCTCGGCGGGCCATGGTGAGGTAGCGTTCAAGTGCAATGGCCAGGAGGCTCAACACCGATGCAGACAACGCCACAAAGACACCACCCTCCCTGGCGAACCAGAGCGCAGGGGAGAGTCGCAGCGTGAGTGGCCCTGACAGCAAGATGTTGGTGGCATAGGCTGCACCTGCCAGCAAATCGGACAGGGTGAGGCTGCCCAGGAGGAGGAACATGGGCGCATGAAAGCGAGGGTGGCGTCCCAGGACCACTAGCACAGCCAGGTTCTCCAACACGATGAAGGCACACACGGCCAGACACACCACAGCATCAGCGCGCAGCCCAGCGCCAGGTTGGTACCGCGCCCCACGGAGCTTGCCGGTGTAGTTGTAATGCAGGACGATGACCTCGCTGACCGGCGCGGGCCGCAGCAGCCCCGAATCCATGGGCTGTGCGCCCCACCTCCCGAGGCCACCCGGAGGTCGGTGCAGCGTCTGGACGGTTGTCCACCTTGACCACTGCGAACAAAAGCCTTTAGAAGGCAGGGAGAGTCAGTATGTAGGAATCCTGAAGGAGCGCAGGAGATGGGCCCCCAACCCCTAACCACACACATACTCAAGGGGGATCTTAGGAAGGTTTAAGGAGGAAGAGGGGTGTCTGAAGATATACACAGACACACAAACACATGCACCACAGACTATCTGTAGGGTGCCCTCAAAGTCTATGAAAAAGAAGTACTACCCAAGAAATCTCCACAGTATGGCAGCCCAACAACCCCTGCATAAAAGCAAAACCGGAAGACATGCCAAAACGGATGGGAAACTTCACAGGGTCCCAACCTCTAGATGAAAAACTACAGGCAGGGGGCTGGAGAGATGACTCAGGGTTAATTCCCAGCACCCACATGGTGGCAAACAACCATCTGTAAATCCAGTTCCCGGGAATTCAATGCCCTTCTGTGACCACCATGGGCACTGCACACACAGGTGCACTTACATACATGCAGACAAGTGTCAGGTGTGGTGGCGCACACTTTAATCCCAGTCATACTCAGGAGGCAGAAAAGTGGATTTCCGTGAGTTGGAGGCCAGCCTGGTCTACATAGCACGTTCAAGGCCAGCCTGGTCTACATAGCAAGTTCAAGGCCAGTCTGGTCTACATAGTGAGACCCTGTCTCAAAACAAATAAAGACAGACAGTTGAAAGAAAGAAAGAAAGAAAGAAAGAAAGAAAGAAAGAAAGAAAGAAAGAAAGAGAGAGAGAGAAAGAAATAGACAGACAGAGAGAGGGAAGAAAAAAGAGAAAGAGAGAGATAGACAGGAAGATATACACCTTTTAATCCCAGCATTTGACAAACAGAGGCAGGCAAGTGTCTGAGCAAACTAGGTCAGCCTGGTCTACATAGCAATTTTCAGGCCAGCCAAGGTTGCATAGTTAAACTCTCTCTCAAAATAAATAATAAATAAGCTGGGCATGGTGGGGTGTATCTTTAATCCCACAACTCTGGAGTCAGAGGCAGATGGATCACTGTGAGTTCAAGGCCAGCCTGATCTACATAGTGAGTTCCAGGCCAGCTGGGGCTATAGGGAGACCCTGTCTCAAAAAGGTCAAAAATAAAAATTAATTAATTAAATTAAAAAATAGAAAACTTAGGGCTGGAGAGATGGCTCAGTGGTTAAGAGGACTGACTGCTCTTGCAGAGAACCCAAGTTCAATTCCCAGCACCCACATGGAGGCTATGAACCGTCCTTAACTCTAGTATCAGGGGAACTTGACGCCCTCTTCTGTCCTCCTGGGGCATTGCATGACACCGGTGCACTTACCTGCATGCAGGCAGTGCACGCATATACATAAAATAAAAATAAATTATTATTTTTAAATAAAAATAATATTTTTAATAATATTTAAAATAATATTTAAACACACAATTACAAATAAATAAAATACTTTTAAAAATACAGAACTTGGGGCTGGAGAGATGGCTCAGCACAGAGGACCCAGGTTCGATTCCCAGCTCCCACATGGCAGCTACGAACCATCCTTAACTCCAGTTCTGGGGAATAGGAATCCCTCTTCTGACCTCCAAGGCATTGCACGACAAGGGTGTACTCACACACATGCAGGCAGTACACTTGTACACAAAAAATAAAAATAATAGAGGCTGGAGAGATGACTCAGCAGTTAAGAACACTGGTTGTTCTTGCAGAAGACCTGGGTTCGAATCCCAGCACCCACATGACAGCTAACAACTGTCTGTAACTCCAGTCCCAGGGGATCCGACAGCCTCTTCTGTCCTCCTCAGGCATTGCATCACGTGGGTTCACTTACCTACATGTAGGCAATATACACATACACATAAAAAAATAAAAATAGTAAATAAAATAAGAAAATAAATAAATAAAAATAATAAAATTTGTTGTTTTTTTTTCTTTTTTGGTCTTTTTGAGACAGGGTCTCCCTGTAGCCCCAGCTGTCCTGGAACTCACTATGTAGACCAGGCTGGCCTTGAACTCACAGAGATCCGCCTGCCTCTGCTTCCCAAGTGCTGGGACTATAGGTGTGAGCCACCACACCCGGCATAAAATATTTTTTAAAATATAAAACTTAAACTTTTTTAAAAAGCTGGGTATAGTGGCATACACCTATAATCCCAGTGCTCAGGTGGTAGAAGCAAGAGGATCAATAGTTAAAGGGCAATCTCAGCTACATAGAGTCTGAGGCAAGTCTGGGCTACATGAGATCCTGTCTCAAATAAAATAAAAATAAAATAAAATAGAATAAATAAAATAAAGTAAAATAAAATAGAACAAAATAAAGGAATAAAAATAACACAGAGAGAGATACCCAGATGCATACTCAGTCACAAACACATAAACACACAGACAATCACAACCACAGAGGAGACCAGAGGCTCAAGGAGCAGAGCACACATAGAGATGAGAACAGAGACACACAGTCCCAGGCTGGGGCCACAGCTCAGTGAGTGATGCTTGCCTAGCCTGCAGGAAGCCCAGTTCCATCCCTTCTTTGACATCCTATCTTCACATTCCAGAGGGTAACAAGAAAATACATCCACACACAAAGCATTTGTTCACTGACTGTGTGACAGAAGCCACCCCAGAGACCAAGACTCAGTCCTGGACACAGGGTCTCATACCCAGTGGCACAGGCTACAATTTCACAACCTTCACCCACAACTAGCCTGCACCCACTGCACACAGCTTGCTATATATAGGCTCTTGCTTGCTTTAAAAAAAAAAAAACTGGCTCAGTGGTTAAGAGCACTGGCTGCTCTTGCAGAGGACCCGAGCTTGGTTCCTAGCACCCATATGGCAGCTAACAACCATCAGTAACTTCAGTTCCAGGGGATCTGATGTCCTTTTTTGGCCTCTGAGGCATTTGTACACACATGGTACACTTACATACATGCAGGCAAAAACGTTCACATGCAAAGTAAAAATAAATACATAAAATACTCATCATCCTTTCAAAATCCCACCATGAAAAACATGATCTTACCCACATACCACACAGAGTCAGAGCAGCAGGATAGCAGGCAGAGATCTTAGTGGGGACACACATGTCATTAAATCACATGACTCTCCTCACCTGCCACTGAACCCGTCAATCCTCTCAGCAATTCCCAGTTTACAGGTGAGCAAAACAAGAAGGTTCTGAAGGAATACCTTGTAGAGCTGGTGAGAGTGCGGGTAAAGGAGCTTGCTGCCAAGCCCGAAGACTTGAGTTTAATCCCCAGAAACCACACAGTGCAAGGAAAGAACTGACTCCCAAAAGTTGTCTGACCTCCACAAACATGCTGTGGCATGCACATACACACCCCTACACCCACCCACTACATACAAATAAATAAATGTGATTTTTTAAAAAGTGTTTTTAAAGAACTATTTTGGGGCTGGAGAACTGACTCTGCAGTTAAAAGCACTGGCTGCTCTTACAGAGGACCCAGCTAACAACTGCCTGTAACTCTAATTCCAGGGGACCTGATGCTCTCTCTGGCCTTCATGTGCATTGCATGCACGTGGTGCACTTACATACAAGCAGGCAAAACACTCGTACACATAAAATGAAAAATGAATCTATTAAAAAAATTCTTTAAAGAAATACATTGTTTAATCCCAGAACTTGGGAAGCAGAGGCAGATGGATTTCTGTGACATTGAGGCAAGCCTGGTCTACATAGTGAGTTCCAGGTCAGTTGGGGCTGCAAGGAGACCCTGTCTCAAAAACACACATAGAGAATAAAGCAAGCAAGCAAGAAAAAGAAATACATTGCACAGTAAACCTTACACTCAATTGTTTGTGTTTTTCTTTTTTTTTTTTTTTGGTTTTTTGAGACAGGGTCTCCCTGTATTCTTAGCTGGCTTGGAAGTTATTATGTAGACCAGACTGGCCTCCATCTCAGAGATCTGCCTCTGCCTCCTGAGTGCTGAGGTAAAAGGCATGTGCCACTCACCAGACCCCTAGCCCCTCTTAATCCCACTTCACAGATGAACAAACCAAGATTCCAGAGAAATACTTTGCGGAGAGTCAGACCCAAAAGTTGTCTGACTCTCACACAAACACAGTCTCACAAAAAAGGACACACAATCCCAGTGAGGCTCACTTCATAGATGAGAAACTCCAGCCCTCAAGATAGATCTCTTGGTACCAGAAAAAGCAAAGAGACAAACACATCCTAGACAACTTCAGAGTAACACAGCAGGAACTATCCAGGGCAGACAGACAGACAGATAGGGAGGTGCTGGCTTAGCCACTCTGGGTGCAGGGGAGGCACCAGGTACAGGGAGGTGGGTTAAACAGCAGTCCCTGCTTGGGGACACTGGGCAGAGGATCAGGTGTCCAATCCCAGGGTGTCCTGGCCTGCAAGGGGAACAGGACTGATGCTGGGCAACTTTTACATTTGTCCAGGCAGGAGAACATTGAGCTGAAAAGTTCCCGGCCTCCCCACTCCTGGCAGGGAATCTGAATCTAGCTCGGCAGTTTTCGGTTTTCCTTGCCCAGAGGTCTCCAATAAAAGATGGGATAAAAAGATCTAGAAACCCCAGGAAGGAGTGACATGTCTTTCAAGCCTGAAGGACCCTCCAAGAAGACTCCCCTCTTGAGTAAACGCTGAGTCCCACTCCCACCTCCACAAAGCCCTCGAAGTTGGACACTCACCCCTGCACCAGCCGCTGCTGCGCCCTGAACTGTTGTGCCTGGCAGGAAGCTGGGGACAGCTGCTCCGGGCGGGGCAGTAGGTGACAAGGCCAGGGGGTGGGCCTGCGACACTCAGGACCAGCGATCGCCAGCAACGGCCCACTCCTCCTCCTATTGGGGACCGGGCACTCAGCCCGGGGTTGCCAGCCTGTGCCACCCGCAGCACCCCGGGAAGCGTCCCAGCGGCGACTGGTACCAGCAAGTCCTAGCTTAGCCCTCCCACGGATACTCAGGGTGGGAGGACCCAGAATGGCAGAGAAAAGGGAGGGGTCTTCAAGGTGAAGCACCCCCTTGCCAGCCCAATAGAGGCTTCTGATACCTGACACCCTGGTCTGCACATCCCCCTACCCCCAAAGACAATTTATGAGCACAGCAGATGTTGTGGGGCTTGCTGTAATACTGGGGTCCTGCTTCTCAGTGAGGATAGGACTCCTAGCTGGGGAGCACAGGCCTCTCTCCTCCACTTTCACCAGGTTCTCAGGGGAGGGGTTGTGTGGGAGGGGCAGATGGGGTCTGACTCCTGCCCTGTTGTTCCTTCATCCCCTATCCCATTTCACCCTCAGCACCCTCCACAGAGATAATGAAGTAAGGAAGGAATATCTCCTTCCTCATGTCTCTTAGAGTCTCTTTAAAAAGTTTAAGTTACATTGATTTATGAGTATGTTTGTGTGGGCATGCCTTGGCCCTTATGGAGGTTAGAGGACAACTTGTGGGAGTCAATTCTCTCTTCTACCCACATGTGGGGATCAAACGCAGGTTGCTGGGCATGGTGGCACACACCTTTAATTCAGCACTCAGGAGGCAGAGGCAGGTGAATTTCTGTGAGATCAAGGCTAGCCTGGTCTACATAGTGTGTCCCAGGTCAGCTGGGGCTACAGGGAGACCCTGTCTCAAAAAGACCAAAAAAAAAAAAAAAACCCAGTAACAATAACAAAGGAATGAACTCTGGTCTTCAGGCTTGTCAGCAACCCCCTTTACACAACTGAGCCACCTCACCAACCCCTTTCTTAGTGTCTGTTTCTCCCCGTCTCTGTGTAACTATCTCTCTCCTTCACAGTCTGTGTTGTTCTCCCACACCTCTCTCAGGCCAGTCTGAGCTGGTCCTATACTCCTCCCACTTAATTCCCAAGAAATTCCTGCTGGGTCCTAGCTTGTACATCCTCAGACCAGCAGCCACAGCTTGGAAACGGGCTCTCTGACAGGATGATCTTCCTGGGGACCAATGCCCTTTGTCTCAGGCCACTCCAGCCCCAGTTGGCCAGCCTGGGGGGGAAGGGGAGGAGGCAGGTTATTGAGCATGTTCCAGAAGCGATAAGAAGGCCAGGGACAGGATGGAGTCTAGAGCTGTCTGGGTGGGAGGAACCACAAAGTCTTGGGCCCCCCAGTGCAGCCCCTTAGGTTCCCAGTAGGCAGAACTGCTCCAATAGGCTCTGACCAATCAAAACCACATACCAGGGCAGCACACCCCCACCACTGGGATGTATGTGAAGGGGTGGTAACCCTTCAATGCCTGGTTCCTCACAACCTGGAGAACCAGACAATCTGGTTTGGCACCAGAGAAATGAGCCCTGGGGTCTTGCCTGATATACAGTAGGCACTCGGTAGGCATTTCCTTTAGAGAGAGGAAGCAGGGTGGGAGATGGCTGCTTCACACCTCCCAGGCAACAATGTCATCTCTCCTGAGCCCTGCCAGGCACTTGGTGGGGCTCTGCAGCCTCTGGCAATACCCAGGGACCTCCACTCTCCAAGACTCCCTATGGGCTCCCCAAAGTCTGGGACCCAGTTCTTTTTGTTTCTTTGTTTTTTTTGGTTTTTTTTTTTGGTCTTTTTGAGACAGGGTCTCCCTGTAGCTCCAGCTGTCCTGGAACTCACTACGTAGACCAGGCTGGCCTTGAACTCACAGAGATCCGCCAGCCTCTGCCTCCCAAGTGCTGGGATTAAAGGCGTGCACCACCACACCACACCCTATTTATTTATTTTTAATTTTAATTATGTGTCCGGGCGTGGTGGCACATGCCTTTAATCCCAGCACTGGGGAGGCAGAGGCTGGCGGATCTCTGTGAGTTCAAGGCCGGCCTGGTCTACATAGTGAGTTCCAGGACAGCTAGAGCTACAGGGAGACCCTGTCTCAAAAAGACAAAAACAACAAAAAAATTATGTGTTTGAGTATATTGCCTGCATGTGTGTAAGTGCACCTGTGTCGTGCAATGCCCACGGAGGTCAGAAGAGGGTGTTGGTATCCCCTGGAACTGGAGTTACAGATGGTTCTTAGTGGCCATGTGGGTGCTGGGAATTAAACCCAGGTCCTCAGCAAGAGCAATCAGTGCTCTTAATCACTGAGCTGTCTCTCTAGCCCTTTGTTTTGCTTTTTGACACATGGCCAAAGCCCTGGTCGGCCTGTAACTCACTATGTAGACTGGCCACAAACTCAGAGATCTATCTGCCTATCTCTACCTCGTAAGTGCTGGGATTAAAGGTATGCACCACTACACCTGGCAGGTCAACAGTTCTTAACATTTTGATGTATCTCTCCACATAGCCAGCCATGGCTCTCTATGCCCCTGAGTACACAACCCACCCAGCTTCACCTCTTGACATTTACACACAGTCAACTTTCTCTGTTGCCAGCCCTACTGGCCTCCTTCTTCCTCAGAAAATTGCAAAATCTTTGAACCTGGCCTAGCAAGATGGCTCAGTGGGTAAAAAGAGCTTCCTTTAGGCTGACCAAACAGCTTAGCCTGTTAAAGGTACTTGCTGCCAAGCCTGATGACCTGAGTTTGATCCCCAGGACCCACATGGTGGAAGGAGAGAACTGACTCCCAAAAGCCCTCTGGGGGCTGAAAAGATGGCTCAGTGGTTAAGAGCACTGGCTGCTCTTGCAGAGGACCCAGGTTCCATTCCCAGCACTCACATGGCAGCTACCAACTCTCTGGAACTCCAGGGGATCTGATGCCTTCTTCTGCCCTCCTCAGGCATTGCATGGCAGAGGTACACTTACATGCATGCAGGCAAAACACTCGTACACATAAAATAAAATTTAAAAAACTCTCTGAACTTGAGAATCAGTCAGGACTAAATTTTTCAGCTCGTCACCTCCTTAGACATAAGTTCCATAATTTAACCAAGATGTAGGAAGACGAAGGGCTTGGAGTATAGAACCAGGCCAGCCACTTTGAGGCCACTCTGAAATAGAGTTGGGCTGGAGAGATGGCTCTGTACTTGTTGCTCTTCCAGAGGACCCAAGTTCAATTCCCAGCAATGACATCAGGTGGCTCACAACCACCTGTAACTCTAGCTCCTGGGGAATACCTCTGCCCTCCAAGGACACCTATACTCACTTCCACAAAGCCACACATGCACACATAATTAAAAACAAAAATAAAATCTTTAAAATCACAGCATCCAATGTTGGAACACTGTGCACACAGCAGGTGAATTGTGAGTGCAGCTAATATTGTTCACCACTGTATATCTGAGGAAGAATTAAGAAATGGTGTTGGCTCCATGCCAGGCATCCCCAGTACCCCACCCCATCCCCACTCCCACCCATAGGTGCAGCTAGAATCCCTGTCGCCCACTCTCCTGCCACAGCCCAGGCTTGCCTGGGCTGTATACCTGCCTGGCCTGCTCTTCTACAACCAAATTTCCCAGCACCAGGGCAGCCACACCCTGACTGCACCCACTCTCTGACAGCCAGGTTTAGGGCTCCCAAGGGACAGAAATGCCTCCTGATTGGACCCCCTTAGACAACCAGCAACCTGCGTGGGAGTCAGACGACTTGGAGGGACTGAGAATTCTCAGCCTCTCCAGCACCTTTCGAAGGCCACAAACTTGAACTTGAAGGAAAGTATGAACGTAGCTAGAACTTTGACACTGACAGACAGCTGCATGGGTCAGGATTTGGAGGGGATCTCAAGGAGGCTAGAAGCTAACTCAAAGTCATTCCCACAAGCTTCCATTCAGCTCGACAGACTCTTTTTTTCCATTTATTTAGTGTAAGTATATGCACTTGTGTGTGCTTGTATATTTGTGTATGCAAATGTATATGTACGTGTGTCAATTTGTGTGTGTTTGGTGGGCAGCTATGCCATGGTGCATGTGGTGCATGTGTGGAGGTTAGAGGACAACTTGTAGGAGTTGGCACCTTTATCCATTGAGACATCTGACTGGCCCCTGATTTTGTTTTTGTGTTTTGTATTTGAGACAGGGTCTCCCTGTAGCCCCAGCTGGCCTAGAACTGGCTATGTAAACCAGGCTAGCCAATCTCACAGAGATCAGCCTACCTCCACCCCTGGAATGCTTGTATTAACAATGTGCCCCATGCCTGATTTTTTTTTTTTTTTTTTTTGAGACTAGGGTTAGCGGAGCATAAGGCTGGCCTCCAATTCACTGTGTAGCTAAGCATGGCCTTGAACACCTCCTGAGTGCTGGATGACAGGTGTGCACCACCACACCTGGCTTTTGTGGTGCTGGGGATAGAACCCAGGGCTTCTTCATGCTAGGTAAGTGCTCTGATCCATGAAGTCACCTCTACAACCCACCTTAGTATGCTTTTTGGTTTTTTATTTTTTTGTCTGTCTTTTTGAGACAGGGTCTCCCTGTAGCCCCAGCTGGCCTAGAACTTGCTATGTAGACCAGGCTGGCCTTGAACTCAGAGATCCTCCTGCCTCTGCCTCCCAAGTACTGGGATTAAAGGCTTGAGCCACCACACTTGGAGGTATGCTTCTTATACAAGATCCCTGAAGTCTCCAAGATCAGGTATGGAGGTGGGGAAATGGTAGCATGGTGCTGGGGTACCACAATCTCCCAAGGCTTGCTGAGTGGGCATGAGACATAGTGCCACCCTTCTCCTCTCACCTCTCTCCCCACAGGCCTAGAGAATTCCAGAAGAGGAAAATCTGAACTCACCCACCCACAAGGTCCTCCATAACTGCTTGTGCTAAGTGGAGTCGAAGGAACAGTGTGAGTTCCAAACAGAGTGAAAGCCAAGCCCTCAGGAAGGAGAGGAGACTGGGCCTTAATTCTTCCCTCCAGGTGACCCCCTAGAGCCATTTTCCTCCCAAGTTCGATTTGGAGCACTGGAAGCAGCCCTTTCCTTCACACTTTCATTTCACAGGTTAGGTAAGGAGACAGGGAAGAACAGGCAGGCTGAGGGACTGGATCAGCATATGTAAA